ACATGTATTATGGAATTATATAAAATGGATTCCAATCGGAATTATTCGATTATTTTCTAGATTTCTATTGTATTTTCTAGGGAAAACGAAATTGTAATTCAGATCGGAATTCATTCGACTTATTCCATAATAAGTGCTCAGGAGACCGAACTTATATGGACGATGCCGTCAAATATTGCCTCAGTTGGGATTTGAACTCGAATCTCCCGTATTCCGTGCGGGCGTCCTCACTGTTCGATCATCGAGACTTCTGCAATATTTATCGTAATAATTGGTAAGTGAGAGAAGCTCAACGTTTTTCAAGAAGACGTATGCCGCAACAATTACAATTCGACAACAATTTGTCTCAGTGGTCTAACTGCGTGAAGACGCTTACCCAGAAAGAGAGGCGAGGTAATATTTTTTGCAATAAAATTATTTGCAAGTTTGATGTTTGTCAATATCATATTATTAACGTCTTCTAAAATGCCTATAAGCAATATTATTAAATTGCTTATCAATTTAATTTGTGATATCACTGTTCTAGTTCTGTCAAGATTGCGTTACAAAACTGAAAATTAAATTCGGGGCATAGTTTGCGGGATTGGATATGTATATAAATTAATAGTATAAATTAAATGTATATATATTATAAAGTCACACGAAATTATTTAAACATTAAAAATCCAGCTCAATCATTTACAGCCTTTATTTCTGATTTGTTGTGTAATTACAATTCATATTAGACCGACGTCTTTGACCGAAAAAATAGACTTTATTTCTTTTAATTGATTTAGTCTCGTCGGTCAAATATGAATTCTAATTGTATAATTTTTATTGGAATTATACAATTTCACCTACGGACATCTGAATACAGATGATATTAAAGTACTTACAGGTACTATAACACTTATAGGTGGTGTGGTCGTTCTACGTTCAGGTCGGGCATTACCATTCACTGATCCACTCTCTAGATCTTCTCGCGGTTCGTAATCTTCTTCGTCCTCATCTTCCTCTGACTCGCTTATGTACACAGATACTTGGTTCGTCTCTGGTTTCGACCATTCGAAATAAACCCCGAAACCAATGTCATAACCATCAGTAGCAAACTCCCAAAATAGACATGTACCATCTTCGTGCGTTGGTACTCGCACTGTAACAGTCTCACCATGGCCGACCTTAATAACCGCGTCTCCTGTTTCCTTTCTAATGATCTGTTTAAATTCTTCCACGCCCTTTCTCGTCCACATCTCTGCAGGACTGATGGGTGGCCAGTCTTCCACCTCGTCCGAATCTTCATCATTTACGTTTTCGTTCGTGTTATCTTTGTCATCATCATCGCGGTCATCATCGTCTTTGCATGTTACATTCTTCTTCTTCATCTTCTCCTTTTCTTCCTCTTCTTCCTCTTCAATATGGTCCTCGATAACTAACTGGTTCTGATGGAGTTGTTGCATGTACTGATGATAATGCTGCTCCTGCAACTGTCTAATCAAAACGCCCTGCTGCTCCGGATTGCCAGGGTACTGTTGTTCAGCGTATAATTTGAACTGATAATATGTTTGCTGATTCAAAGCATCCTGAATCTGTCTTCTCTGAGTTTCCTCCTTCAGTCTTTCTTCCTCCCGTTTCTTTTTCTCCTCCTCTAGCTCCTTAAGTTTCTTTTCCACTTCTTGTTTTTTTGCCTCCTCTTCTCTCTTAAGTCGTTGCTTCTCTTCAAAATTCCTTTTTTGTGCCTCAACTACAGTTCTGAATAAAGGGCATAGTTTGTCCAGTAATATTATAAAGCCTTCCATCGCCTGTTCTTTTGATATATCTCCCAGATTTTGCCATGCCACTCGCCTGTCCCTTCCAATCATGTCCAAAACACCTAACGGTGGTGCATTTTCAGCTGTGTATTTTCCATGTGTCACTTGTTGCGTGAATGCTACCAGTTTCAATTTATCCTCATAAGAAAGATGGACTGCTTTGCCTTCTTTTTCTAAATAAATTAAATCTTTTGATAATAATTTTATTAAAAAGCGTGATACATTATAAATGTGATTTATTTACTTGGTATTTGATTCCAAATTTATCACAATATCGAAATATGTAAATATATTTATAATTCTTTTTACATAGCACTTGTATATATGTATCTAGTCTGCAATAGTCTACATTTTGATCATATGATTTTATTTTTCAAAATAAAACAAGACTGTCAACAATCAATGGCTATAACTCGTATAAATATACATAAGGACTCTAATGTTATTTTACATAAAAATTTGTATAAATGTATTTTATAATTCTGGAAGTACTAAAAAATGTATATAGATATAATAACATTTGGAATGTATATAGATATAATAACATTTGGAATAAAATTTTTATTGGAATTCGTTCACTTTCTTTTGACGTAAAAGCTAGTATGACAATAGAAAAATGCATGACAATACAGTGTTTGCATGGAGGAATGTCAAGGATTTTTATCTTAATAAATAATTTTATTTAAACGATCTTAAAAATGTGCTTACGCGCTGCATCATGACAAGGTGAACAAATTTCTGCACAGTAAATCGTCGCGAGGACTCACCTTTGTAGAAGTTGAGTGCGAATTTGTAAAGCTCTCGCGTCTCAAAGCCCCAGAGTCGCGGCTCGCAGTTCTTCGCCGTAACGTCCACGTCATTGTTATCGGTCCTACTCGTCGCGTTCTTGTCGTCCTCCGTCGTAGAAACGCTCAATTCGTCGACCCACTCACTGAGTGCAGACACATCCTCCTCAGTAGCGGCCGCCATTTGCGTTAGCATCTGACCTGACACGTCGATCGAGGATTAATATAAATCGCGTTGCGTGCCTAACCTCGTTGGTCTCGTTCTTGTCCAGCGTTTGATCGCGACCGCTGAATCGGCTGAACGCCGAACAGCAGTCGCGGCATTATCTCGTGAGCAACATGACGGACAGCTTGTGCTCTATGTGTGTGCGTACTTACAATAATTCACGCACAATAATATTGTAACCGTACGGGGAAAGATATCTGGACCTGGAATTCTCAATCGCCAGCGATTGTAACTTGTAACGCTAAACACTGCCGGTTCTGTTAGGTTCTGTGCGTGCTACGGAACGATCAGCAAAGCACAGCAAAGGCGAATAATGCCGAGTAGCACGAAGTGACCAATCAATGCAAACGAAAGCTCGACGTGGTGTGCACCCGCGCTCAGCCGTGCTGTACGTACGTACGTACGTACGTATGTATGTATGTATGTATGTATGTATGTATGTATGTATGTACATAAATTACGATGCAACGAGGCAAGTATGCATGTACATACACATACTAGATATACACATACGTGCACCTTGATGCACCTGTACGTGTATTCGTCTCACCCTTGACTACTTGATCGTCCCGCCACCCCCTCAGAATCTTCAGATACACATTTACGTCTTTACACGTACGTCTAGAATCTTGCGCGGTTTTTTCCTTCTGGTAAAGTGATAACGCGCACGGTTCAATACAGTACGGAATAAATAGAATAGTTATGGAAGGTCTCTTTCGCTGGTGTATTATGACCTAGGAAGTAGATATATTCAACTGTGATAATATTACACGATTGTTTGAATTTACGCCGCTAATGCTAAATATTCCTGAAATATATATTTATAAAAGGATTTCTAAAATCCCCAAAAAAACATTCCGAGAGTATTCCGGAATATTCTAAAATACTTATTTACCGAATGTAAAAGCAACATTCAAATATCGGTTAAAAATTCCATTTATATGTATATCGTTACATATTAGGCAAAAGTTCAGTCAAAAAGAACAGGCCTATTTCAAGAATGTTCCATATATGTTACGCAAAATTTTAATTTTTCCAGAAATTCTAGGTCCAATCGTCCCTGAACAAGTTTTTAAACAAAATTTTGCTTTGAAAACACTTCACATTTTCATCTTGGAACCCAAAGGTTTGTTTGCGTTGCATGTTCCATTATGTTCCAATGGGTGCATTCAGAAGCGACGACCGCTCACTGAGCGTTCACTCATTAAAAAAGGGATTAATCTATGATTAATATGTTTATTTGTTATAATTCGTAATGTAAAATAACTTGTCTATTATCGATAATCTTTTAATATCATATTCCTTACTTATTTATTACTGTTTATTATTTCTCTAATGCCGTATTTGGGCTGTAAAATTATGTAGCGCTCAGTAAGCGGTGGAGCGTAATTAAAAATCGCTCCACTGCTCACTGAACGCTATATAACCTTACGGCCCAAACACGACGTTAGAGAAATAATAAACAGTAATAAATAAGTAAGGAATATGATATTAAAAGATTATCGATAATAGACAAGTTATTTTACATTACGAATTATAACAAATAAATATATTAATCAGAGATTAATCCCTTTTTTACCCAGTGAGCGCTCAGTGAGCGGTCGTCGCTTCTGAATGCACCCAGGGTGCGTTCCGTTTCACGCATGGACCGCATGAAACGCAGCGCATAACATGCGCGCATTAGCTCGGTTCTTTTTTTCATGCGCATAGCGAAACGGAACGGATCCCATGCGCACACCCACGCGGTTGTAAACAGATACGGCGGATTTCCGTTCGTGCCTTTTGTAGCCATCAAGTTAAAAATTCGAGTTCGGTCGTGATTATTTGGCGTTTATTCATCCGGAGACCTCTCAGAGTTTCGGCTCAAGGTTATACAAAATTAAAAAAAAATATCTACACTGAGCCAATAGTAGATCATTGTCCAGAGACTGGATCTTCTTTACAGAAAGATTGACTTTTTTAAATACGTGTTATTACAATTCTCATTACCTCACTACATTTCCTCGCTCTTATGTAGTGTTCTTGCAAGTTAACATAATATATGATTTTGTGTGTGTGTGTGAATCGATGTAGTTACTAGCCAAATATTCATAAATTCATACCTGTTTGTTTATAATTAGTTACAAACTGATTTTCATCATATTGTAAAAATTGTGTTGACTATAACAAATCAAACTAACCAAGACTCCTTATAAATCAAAGAGTAAGGGTACTAGGAGTCAGGCGCAGAAGACACGCAAATAATACATTTTGTGATACATACCAACCTTTAGGATACATACCAACCTTTAGGTTAGTTGTATTTTGTTCAAAAGCCTTATATTCTATATTCGAAGATAATACAATTCTTAAATTGAAAAAGTTCGAAAGGAGTACTAATAATGTATCATTTGATTCATTTTAGAAGAAGATATGGCAGATGAAATGTCGACTGATGATGTACTCTATGTGGTATCTTCCACTATTATTTGCAGCCTTCCGCTACTTGATATAGATGGAAAAGATGAAACTTCTTCGTCATCTAATAGCAGTGTTGAGGATTCCAGTGACGAAGAAAACGACATGCGTACCCTATATACCATATTGATGGTGAATGAGACGAGGGGTGCAAATCATCCAATAGAAAAGTTGACCGATTATGTAGAACGCGTTGTTCCAGGATACTCTAAAATAATTTTTAAAGAACATTTTAGGTTTGTATGAATGTGTTTCTTATCAGTGACTGATAAATACAGATCTGTCCTATGTTTAACTTTCGTTATATTGCAGAGTTTTTCCCGAAACTTTTCAAATGACTTTGAGGCTTCTATTGCCAGCTTTAATTGCTGCAAATGCTTGTGGAAGAAAACAAATATCTCCAGAGAAACAACTTATGATAACGTTATGGTTCATGGCTACACCAGATTCATATCGATATG